CTAGGGATATTCTCTTTGTAATATTTGCATATCAAAAATCAGGCTTTCTGTTTCTCTGTAGCACTGCATATTCCAGATGATAGGGTAATCTTCAACTATTTCTAATATGGTCATATTGTAAATTACCATTCTCTGAAGCAGCTAAGCTTTTTTATGCTATAAATTTTTACTTCTGCAAATTATAAAATCTAAGATGAGAGAGTGTTAAGATTTCGCTCTAGGAAAACGCAGCTCTTTGATCTTTTCACACACACTTACACCAGATTGTTTGATGAGCATAAGTAGTTTTATATAGACTTAATTTAAAAAATATATAAATATACTTTAAAATATAAGTTACCAGTACAATTAAAACCCAATAAAACAATAATGATAGCAGGTGCATATAAAGCTTAATCAGGCAGTCTTCTCTAGGGAGTGTATTTCATAAATGAATGTTCAATTGAGAAGGTCTCCTTCAGAATGGGTTTATTGAATTTGGGTTGCAAAAGTACAGATAGCCACAATATGATATCTGGTGCTTATTTAGATGTTTTTAGACTAGATATTCTATTCTAAACTTGAAGGCTATAACACTCTCAAAGAATCTCTGAACTACAACTCTTAGGACTTAAATTTGAGTACAATCACTTCCAGAAAATTGGTCATCCAGAATCACAAATTTATCAGTATTTAATCTTGCTTAAAATTTAGACAATGAAGTGTAAATTGATTAATTTTCTTCACCCTGATTTATCTCTTCAAGGAAACACACACATTATCTTCTTAATATATCTGCAATATATTTGTCAGTCATTTGAAAATTATTATGCATATTTGCTAGAAGCTGCTGAAGTCGTCATTGTCAGCTATTCAATCATAAGCGACCTTGGCCTCTCTAGGGATCAGCACTCTCCATGTCCTTCTGTCTCGAACATCCTCCTTCAGATCCGCCATGGTCTTCTCAGTGTCATCCCATGTCCAGCCAGCAGGTGCTAAGGTGACTCCTCCTCCTTTTTCCACTGATCATTCTCACCATGGTTAACTTTTTCAGTGAGTCAGCTGACATGACATGGCCAAAGTACCGTGTTTTCCCCAAAATAAGACCCAGCCAGAAAATAAGTCCTAGCATGATTATTCATGCTGCTTGCAATATAAGCCCTACCCCCCAAAATAAGCCCCAGTTAAGAGCATCAGCCCTCTGGGGGACATGGTTAACACAAGAGGCAGCAAGTGCAAGCACAGGGGTTGACGGTATCCAGAAGCAGCTGCAGCCTGCCGTCCCCTTGGCCAGCACGTTCTGGGGCTATGCAGCCCGTGCAGCACAGGTAAGTCTCTCCAAGCAGCAGGTGGAGGCAGAGGTACAGGGAGGGAGGCACATGATCCTTCCCACCATCTAACTTTGTTTGCGAAGTTTGCGTAGAGCTGGAGGACGAAGTTGGACAGTGGCCAAGTACATTCACTCATGGGAACGGCACCAATAACAAGTGGAGGCGCGGGGAGTGGGGAGGCATGCGATCTGGCCTGCCAGACATGCCACACAGCCACCCATTCACTCCATCCGTCGTTGCTTGCCTGCAGCTGCAACAGTACGGGTGGCAGCATGGTGCATCTGATGGACCAGATCACGTGCCTCTCACAGTCACCCACCCACCCACTCCTTTTCCTCTAACTGCTGCTTGGGGGGGTCTTACCCTCAAGGCTGTTTCCCCCCTTTTAAACCTGATCTCCTTTTCCAAAGGCATCGGCTATCATCTGGAAGGAACAATCTCCCCCACCCCGGATCTACACAAGGCAGAAGTCTCCCTTTGCATCCGCCTGTCAGCAAAGCAGCTCTTTATTTTTACCCTGCAGGGATTCCCCCATCTTCTATGGCTATTAAGAGATCATTTGTTGGTTTTACAAATGACCTTCTAGCCAAATGCATTTCTATCTTGGCAAATTCAGGGATAGATCCAAGGCATGCCACTATAAACTCTCCCTGAGGTTCTCTGTGTTACCACACAAATACCTGGTGAATCACAATCAAATTGCTCCATACATTCATGGTATCTTAAAGAGACACTGCTCCAGTTTACTGATTTTTGTCATTTCCCCCTCCCCCCCCCCATCTTGAGACAATTGAATAGCTGTCGCTTCCCAAAATAAATGAGCCCGACGCTACCTGGAGGGCTTCCATGCTTTTGCAAAAGCAACCCAAACACGGCATGTGGAATATCCACCACTGTTCCCAGCAAAGCCTGAATCAAAACAAAGCACTATGAGTCTGGGTGCCCTTTCCATCTGTTCCCCCTCCCTCCCTGGGAACTGTATGGGGGGATGTGAAGGGCCATCAAGGCGACAAGACACTCCCAGGGAGATGAAGTGGCCCTACTGCCAGAGCCCAGGCGCTGGTGCTGACTTGGAAGGAGTGGCTTTTATATTTGAATGCTGTGTCTCCTGAGAGGTCTCGTGGAGAGGAGGGCAAGTCCCTCATCCATAGCTGCACAGCTTCTGCCCCCGCTCTTTCTCCTCTGCTTCAGCCCAGTCTAGTCCTCCATCTCCGTCTGAGGAGGGAGGCTAGGTTCAAAGGGGATGGGACTGTCGGGACAAATCTGCAAAAAAACAGACCCGCCCTTCCACGCCAGATTCCCATGAGCAAGCCCGGGAAGCAGCCAGCAAAAAGCAGCTCTCGAGCAACCACTCTCCCTTTTCCTCCTTCTCCTTCTCCTTGAGGTGAGGGATGAAAAGCCCCATCATTCCCTACATGGCAAAGCTACATGCCTCACCACGCTTCTGTTCTGACCTAGGCTTCCCCAACAGCACAAAACCGAGTCCTCGTCTCAGTAAGCCTCTTTTATTTGATTTACAATGAATATCCTCTCCAACAAAGTCCGGGCCAACAGTCTTTCAAGATAGTTCCCAATTACAAACCTTTATCAGGCTTGGAGCGTGGTCAAGCCAATACCTGTCAGACACCTCAATACTTGGCAAGCATGCTGGAATGAGCTAATGGTTTCCTGCAAAGCCCCACTCCCCTTTCACTCCTCTTTTACTCTCTAGGGGAGGGGCCATTCACAATCCACCTGTGGCTTTACCCCCAAGTCAGCCCTTCTTCCTCAACTGTTCCCTCCTTCTGGCAACTCTGTGCATGCACACACTGGGAACAGGCTCCAGCTGTACTTCTGCTTCATTGATGTCTGACTCCGAAGGCAGCTGATAACCGTCAGATGCCCCTGGCTCCATCTCTGACTCCGATATAGAGCATTTGTCAGTGCCTTCCCCAGACTCCAGGACTGGCCCATGTTCCTCCCCAACCTCCTCACTGTTAAATCTGCTGCTGGCCACTGTTGGCCCACAACAGCTTCTCCCATACATGCCCTGCTGGCTTCCAGGCTCTGCTTGGAGGGCTAGCCCGACAGTCGCAGGGCTCTGGCTTTTTCAGAATTCACATTTCACAACAATAAGTAGCAATTGGAAAAATTATTGCGTTGATTAATCTGCATTTGATTGTGAGGCTGATGTCTTTACTCTTCCAGATGTTACTCATGCCAAACATTGCAGTTCTTCCAAGTGCTATATGCCTTCTGATCTTGAGTCTGCAATCACCACTTTGGTCGAGTTCAGAGCCCAGTAAGATTAATTCTTTACTCTTTCAATGGTCTCATTGTCAATCTGCTCTCTGACCTGTGTGTTCTCTGCAGTTGTCATTATCTTTGTTTTCTTGATGTTAAGATACAGATTTTTCACTTTCATCTTTGACTCTTAGGATTAATCTCTCCAGATACTCATTGCTTTCTGTGAGTAATGTTGTATCATCATATTAGATGCTGTTGATATTCCTACCACTGACTTTAACCCCATTGGAACATTCCTCCAAATGTGCATTCTCATAATTATTTCTTTGTACATGTTGAATAGTAGAGATGTCAGGATCCAACCTTGTTGAGTGCCTTTTTCAATTCTGAACCATCTTGCATCTCCATATTCCATTCTTAAAGTGGCTGTCCGATCAGAGTAAATGACTGAATGAGCTGGATGTGATGTGGTGATATTCCCAGTTCTTTGAGGCAGTTCTAGAACTTGTCATGGTCAACACAATCCAAGACTTTTGTGTAGTCAATGAAGCACATGTAGAGGTCATTTTGATATTCCTTTGCTTTTTCTCTGATTGCTTGTTGGTCATACAATTCCTGCTCATTATGTCATCTGATCATAGCCTTACTTGCCATATAGAAGTTTCTGGCCTTCTTCACATAAGTAAAACAATCTGTTGTATGACCTCTCATGGCTGCTTCCTCCATTTTCTTACATTGTTCAGTGAAGTACTTTTCTTTATCTTTTCTTGTCTCTCTATGAAACTTTGCATTTATCTTTGCATTTCTTCCCTGCTAGCAATAGCTTTTGTTTTCCTTTTCTCTTCTGCTGTCTTTATTGTAGCTTCTGATATCCAACTGGCCAATTTCTTTGGTATCTTGTATGAAATACATTTTTGGGTTACTTCAGTGACAGTTATTTTTATTTCCTCCCATAGCTCGTCTGGTTGTCTTTCTATGATGCTGAGTAGTTCAAATCTGTTCTTACCTTCAACTGCATATGCCAGCACAATCTTCTTGATGTCAAATTTCTGAAGCAGCTGGAGTACACATGTGGAATCCTCTTCCCATTCCTTTGATACTAGCCATTCTGTAATTGGAACATGTTTTAAGCTCTATACCATGGCTTCTGGTTTGCCTATCTGCAGCTGTAATACCAAAATGTATATTGCTTTATATATATATATATATAGAATCTAACAGCTTCCCAGTGAGAGTTTTATGCTATTACTGTTTAACACTGCCCCCCCCCCCCACCCTGCAATTTTATATTCTGATCTTCTTTAGGAAACTTCCTAAAGATTAAGAAAAATATGTTTTAAGAAACATCAGCCCCTAGTAACCCCAGGAAAATCAAATTAACCACATGATTTCTTTTAGTCCAATTTTTTTTTGCATTATTTTCATTTTCTCTGGGGGAAATATATTTGTTGTCTTTTGGTGCAGGACTATATGCAAAATGTTCATGGAAAAGAAATTGATCTTCTGAGGACCACAGTTAAAGTGCCAGGGAAGAGGCCACCTCGTGCCACATCAGTCTGTGCACCTATCTCTAATCAAAGAACAAATGGCTTGTCCAAAGAGATGAGCGGTTTACATATTTCACCAAATCCAGGTAAGAGAAATATAATTTGAAAAATATGATCACAATGTTTGTTTATGTTGCCTTTTAATTTAAAAACACAGTAATTATATTTAACATATTTATGTTTTAGATATTTTTATCTGAAAACAGTCATGCTCTTTGATAAAAGTAAAAACAGTGTGATGCCATCTGTTTAACATTTTCTTGTGTGTAACCTAGATGTACATATTGCTTTTCCACTTAACCTTAACAGGTTTTATTACCACTTACCAGGTGTTTGTCTCATTGACTTATTTCTGAATGGGGACACTTAGGGTTGCACTGTAAAACTTCTATGTAGAAGTAAATTCAATTTAATTCATTACCATTTATTTTTAAATACACATGCATTACGTTTGGTTTTAAGCCACTCCTGGAAGGTTTGTAGGTTTTTTGGAAAAATCAACAACAAAAAATAAATAATGGTAGGAAGGAACTTGAATAAAATGCCATGTGAAAGAAGGGACTAAAGAGCCCTTTCATGTGAATGTCAGCTTCAAGTGTAAATGATATACTCCAGGCACAGGTATTGCTTTATTAGTGGGAACTGGAACTTAAGTACAAAAATTTATTTACATTGTGCAAATATGCTAAGATTTTCTTTACCATCATCATCTTATAATATGAGCATCAGAATGATTACTGGGTAAATTACCAATTTATGACTGTTCTGCCAAATGGAAGTCATGTAAACTTTGATGTTTCGTTAACCTTTCTCTTTATTTCTGCCACATAGCCCAAGAAGGTCCAATTTTTGTTCTGAAGTTTTGTTTTTGAAATGAGGATTTATCTGTCATTTGTAGAATTACTTTTCTCAGATGCTAGAATAACTCAAGAAACGTAAATCAGTCCATATTAGACAAATCGGTGCAGTAATAATAGATTTGATAAAATACAACAAATAAAACAACAATGAATTAAAAATAGTTTATATAAAATAAGTACACTAAGGAAAAACATTCATCTGTAGCATGCCTAAGAGATTATTGGTTTTTAGTAGATGGTTAAAACATATAATAATAGGTTCCTCCCAGATGTCAGAAGTGTGTATGAGAAATTAGATAATGCCATAAAGAAGGCATTGTGTAGTGTGGTTAACTTCAAGATTGCAAGTCTTCAAGTCTGTAAGAATCATCTTGAACTTGGAAGCTCTAAGAAGGAAGCTCAGGTAGTATCCTCCTCTGTTTATTTTCATCCGAGACTGCAGAGCAGAAGAAAATACAGGAGATGAACAATTGCCTATGGAAATAGTATCAGTTCAATGGATTTGATTTCTGGGGACCTTGTTTTAGGCTATCTGGAGGAAATATGTCTAGTGCAAGGTATACAACCTATCACAAGAACTGAGAAACAAATGTTTGGCTGAAGTACGTCATGCTTGATCAGGAGAGTTTTAAATTATACCTTCTGATGTTGAAGTGAGAAGTCATGTGACCCTCTCCTAATTCACATGACACCCTGAAGCATACTCAGCCATCCATATTTTAGTGAGCCCCATCTGTATGGTTAGTTTATGGTTCAAGATAGTGTATGGATCCTGAAATTTGAGTTTATTTTGTGCATTCATAGCCAAATGTTCAAGTAACCGTTCCTGAAAGTTTTTCAAGTAATTATACCCAGTAGAAGGACCTAAGATAAAAACTGGAGTATAGATCCAGATTGACCAGATCATTTGGAAAGATTTGAAAAAAGAAAGTACTTTATTTGTGTTAGAGTACTATCTACTATTCTTTAAAATTACCATTGGAAGTATGACAGAAATGTATTACCAATACAAGTGCTTTTTTCATGCATAATCTTACATAATACTTCTATAGAGCTGAAGTGATACCCTAAACGTTATCAAACTCTATTTGGAAGGTAAAGAATATATAGCTATTTAAAGACGTAATACATTTACTTTCTAGTATTGCAGTGATCGTCTGGCTAGTTTTCATTACCTGGGAGAACCCAAATCCACACACTGAGTACTATTTAACATCTACAAGAAACTGCATTAAAAATTGCTGATGCTTCACAGTGCTGTTATGCTCAATTTGTATTTTCATTGAAGACAAGAAAATCTTTAACAGTTCGAAATAAGTGCTGGAGGGCCGTAATACATCATCAATGAGCTAACAAATTTAAATTTAATCCCAAAAAAGATAAAGTAGGTGATTATACTTGCTGGTTTATGTCAAGAAACAGCTTTTTAGTATGAAATCGGTTTTTGAAGAATATAAATTCTTTAAAATTATAAAAATAAAAATATAAATTCTTTAAAATAATATTTATGTATAATATTTAGATTTTAGGGCTACCTTGATTTGGCTTTGCTTATAATAATAGCTATCCTCTCTGGAAACCACAGCTTACTAGGTAATCAAAGTTATGGTTTCCAGAGAGGACAGGGGGTTCAAATGGCAAAAAATGCTACAGACTTTGTACCTTTTATATTTGTCTATTATGTTTGCTGGCAAAATGTAAGGGACAGGGCCTGTGTTGCTTATCATAATGCACATGCTACTGTTATGATGAAATATTTGCTTGCTGCAAATGCTCCTGCTACAATCCTCACTGCTTTCTATCACTATTTTTTAAAATTGTTTTTATCTTCTGGATGCTCTGGGTGAGGCATAAACAGAACACAACAACCTGGTAAGATAGGAAGTCCACTAAAATTCCTAAGCTTATAAAATAATACATTATGAGGCCCAAGATATATCTATAATGATAACTTAAATATGTCTAAGATTTAGAGCCTGACAGTATATACTCTTTATGTTTAGTGAATGTCACAATTTCAAACAAGGCATGTATAACGGTCCTGAACATTGAGATAGTCCACCACTAGTGCCAGCAATGATCTTGGATTAATCCACTCTCTTCTTTCTATTATAGTTTGGTTTGTGTATCTCATTTCTAGATTTTCCCTGTATCCAAGATTAGTTATTTGTCCTAGTCTTCTGAAGTTATTATGTTAGGCTCTCATATTTTGTAATAGCAACCAATCTGTTGTAAAACCTTTTCTGGAAAATCAAGCATTTTCACTTCTCCACCTCTCTAGTGATTTTTCAAATCCTAAAGGCATCAGGAATGTTTAAAACACTGGTTTGGCCTCCTCTTCCAAATGGGAGGGGTGCTCACAAACCTATTTTCAATAGTGAACTACCATTGATATCTAACATTCCCGCCATGCTGTTTTTCTCCACACTCCAGCAATCAGGACATCCAGCAAACCCATAAAACCCAAACTAATAGCATGAATATTCAGTGACCTAGAATACTAATTATTGTTATGAATATTAATGCGATCGGACTTGCATTTTCCTCTTCTGTTCTTGTTCTCTTTTTTTCCACTCAGCCAGCTCTAAAGATGGGCCATAATGAGAGCATTTAAGAGAGAGTGCTCTCCATCGTGACAGGGACTGGGGTAATAAGCAGAGCTTGATTAACGTGGTGCACTTGGGGGAGAGATGAGAGGCTTCACATGGTCCTGTTGTGAAGGAGGCAATGAGGCACCGGCGGCTGTGTTGCTGCTCCCTCAGATTAATGAGGCCTAAGAGTGCATTAGGAACAGTGACAAAGGTTTGATCTAATGGGTTCAGTCATTTTTCCTTTGAGTGACAGACGCACAGAAGTAATTGGCTGTGCAGAATGGCAGCTCGTTGGCAGTACTTAAGGATACATTATCACTGTTGTGTGGCCCACAGAGGTTGTTTATCAAAACTGCTCACACTGCAGACTTGCATTTACTAAATTGTTGTTACAGAGTAATATCTTTAAAATATTCCAATAACAATAACAGCACAGAATCACAGTCTTTGTGAGTAGGGGTCAGTTTTTCTCTTCATTTAATTTTAAATGGTTTTGAAATGAAGTAAAAAGTACAGCTTGCTCTAACTTGGAAGCCTCTGCATTTTTTTATCATGCTAAAGTTCATATACACCGAGATATTCAGTGTGTTTTGTATTTCTGTAACAATCAATGTCCATCTGTGGCTATTCAAAATCAAAAATGGTTTTGACAAGATTGTGTCATGATTGGGAAAATATTGTTCTTTCTGCCTTAACTCCTATACGCCAAATGGATTGCTTCCTAATGTCATTACTTGAAAACCAGAAGATCTACATACTTCTCTGGAATTAATCTAAACCTATTTAATAATAGATACGTATATTAAAGCAAATCTTTCAGAAACATCTTTTGATCCATTTGTTCCCAGGTTTTTTCAATACAGCTCTCCAGTGTTGGTAGTAAACTGAAAATCTAAAACAGTTTTTATTAATTTTGATCACTATGCACTTTATGACAGTGTACCTAGCATCGGTACTTTTAGATGGCCATGTAGCCTTTGGGAGGTCTGTCGTAACTTCAAATGGTCATTAAAAAGAACAGGTCAAAATTAAGGATTCCTTGTATGTGTAAGATAAAATTAGCAAGGATCCAATTGTTGCGAATTGTATATAACAATTACATTTATCTGATTGAACGGACCACTACAGATGCTTTTATGTATGAATATGATGTGTCTATCATAGCACAGAAAGGAAAATTAGAGGGAGCATCTCATGGTTTTTATTAGCACTGGAGGTTTTTTTTTAAGCTCGTTATGTGTTTTCCAAAGAGACACTCTCATTTGTAAACTGTTACAAAATTCTCATGAGACAAAAATGAAGTTGATGACATGCCATGTTCTCCTAGGGGCTTAAAGGAGATATATTTGCAAAAACAAGAGGGGGAAAAATACTGAACTCTTTCTGTTTTCTTTGTCCTTGAATTTTTTATGTTCTGGTGGCCTTTGTTTAATGTCCACTAGTTCAGTGACCGTTCTAACTTCTATGCACAGCATAAATTGTATTTTTAACTGGTCCTTCTATTGATCGTTGTCACAATGTCCCTGCAATCATGATTGGCAACATTTCCTGCCAGCTTTTAACAAGCAAAATCAATAAGGAAGTTGGCTGGAAGTCACATGTCACAGACATGTTAGGCCATGCCCCCATGCTGTC